CCTCTCTACCACTTCCACTCTCTACCTCTACCTCTTTACCTCTCTCTTACCATTCTGACCACCTCTATCACTCTAATCACTCTCTTTCACTCTGTATCACCTTCATCATCATTATCAGATTAATCAGAGCTGTACAGGCTGCAGAGCCACTCTTCAATCTCATCTGAATTCAAAGAAATATGTATGACATCACATGAGATCATGTTACAGAGAATTTGACACAATGAACATAGAGAAGATTATAAGAAATGTAAGTACTGTAGAGAATGTATGAAAGAAGCAGAATAAAAAAAAGAATGAAGATTAATATCAGAGCTGTATAGGCTGCAGAGCTGGCTGTTCAATCCCATCAAATGAAATGGATTTGATAGGGTGCACGTGATATCATGTGAGGTCACGTTACAGGGCATTTTACTCGGAAAAGTTGGTTTTTCTATAATATATAGAGAGATAAGCTGTTTATACACTACATTCTGCTTTCTGCATTCTCTTATATCTCTCTCTCTCTTTCTGAGAAGCCTCATGCATATTGTAATTGTATATACAATTCTAAGATCAGTGAGTGTTTATTCAGTAATTATTACCCCTGCTTTTTACAGTTTCATATGCTAATAATAGTTCTTAGTTGCTCTGGTGCCAGAGGTCATTTTAATTGAAGATAATAACATCACTGAAACTATTCTCTCTCATTCTCAAGCTTCTTCTGTCACTTTCTCTTCCTTCTCTGCAAGAAAGATTGTGTGTACACTGAGTCATAAGCATTCAGTTTCAGGTGACTTCTGCTATCATTCATTCAGTTCTGTATCTTCTTCTTCTTTTATTTCTTCTGTTTCTACTCTCTCTGCTCTAGCTTCTGATTCTGTGAATTCTGCACTCTTCTTCAATTTTTCTACATACATATATACACATTTCTATATTAGCATTCCAGTCAATCTTGTGATAAATGATATTAATGTCATACACAGAGCAGTAGAGAAATCAGAGACATGTACAGTATTATTGTAAGAGTAGCTTACAGCTCTCAAATCTCTTACAGATCTCAAGTTTTGAGATTTTCTTTATTTCTTGATGTTTTTCTTTTCAGGTGATACGGTGTTGAAAATAGATTAAACATGTAACATATGAAAATGAATGAGATGTATGATAACATTTGTCTTTTACAGTTAACTCTTACAGTTGATAATCAATTCATTATCTCTTAAGTTCTTCTCTTTTCTTTTCTTACACTTTTTCTTTGTCTGCTAGTTACTACTCTTACATGATCTCTATATAATACAGTGTTCAGTGACTAGGTTCAGCAGCTTTCATCTTGTAGTTCTGTCTCACGTATTATACTGTCTCTCTTCACTTACTCAGATTACTACAGTGAATAGTTCATTGAAACTAATCTCATCTGATCTCTGAGTGTTCTCAGAAGTTGAGATAACTTGGTCTCACATGTCTGTGAATGTTTCAGATAATTCATTCTCTGTAATCTCTGTAATTAAACTGATGTAAACAGTTGAATTTAACTCTGAATTCCTTTTTCTTCTGCAATCTGACTTATATACAAGTCTGCTGCTTTGAGACTGCTCTTTATCATATTACATTCACTGTCTGTGATGCATTATTATATGATCAGCTACAGTCTTATTACTTATTAGAGTGTGATATTTATCTGATTTCTTCATTTCTTCTCATTCTTTTCTTATAATTGTGAAAAGATTGAAATAAGTGAGATTATCTGATTTGTAAATGTCTATGATTTCTCTTACTTCATGAGACTTTTCAATTATAAGTCTCTTCTTCTTCAA